TTGGACATCCCTCTTGCAATCTGGGACCGCTGGCTCCTAACCGCTCACCTGCCTGCCTGATCACCCCTAACCTCTCTGCCTGCCTGCCTGATCGTACCCAACTGCTCTCCCCTGCTGGCCTGGTCACCCCCAACTACCCTCCCCTGCAAGCCTGATCTATCCCCAACTGCCCTCCCCTGCTGGCCTGATTGTCCTTAAACCCCTGCCATCCTGATCTCACCCCCAGCTTCCCACCCTGCTGGCCTAATCACCCCTAACTACCTCTGCCTTGGCTCTCACCACCATAACTTTGTCCAGAAGGAAGCCAGGCATCCAGAAGATGGCTGATCAACCAGTCTAATTAGCATATTACCTTTTTATTAGTATAGACTAAAGGCCCGGTGCACAAAAATTTGTGCACTTGGTGGGGAGAGGGGGTCCCTCAGCCCGGTCTGTGCCCTCTCGCAGTCTGGGACCCCTCGGGAGATAACGACCTGCTGGCTTAGGCCTGCTCCCGGGTGGCAGAGGGCAGGCCCAATCCCTAGGTGCAGCCCCTGGTCAGGCTCAGAGCAGGGCTGATTGGGGAGTTGGGGTGCTGCCCCTGCCATGCACAGAGCAGGGCAGATCGGGAAGTTGCGATGCCACCCTCAGTCACGCTAAGGGTAGGGCTGATTGGGGGATTGGGGCACCTCCCCCTGTCACACTCAAGGCAGGACCAATGGTGAGGCTGTGGGGCCACCCCCTGTCATGCACAAAGCAGGGCCAATTAGGGGGTTGGGGAGCGCCCCCCATCACTCACAGAGCAGGGCCCATCAGGGGGGTTGGGGTACCATCCCCTGTCACACGCAGGGCAGGGCGGATCAGGGGGTTGGGGCACCCCCACTGTCACACTCAAGGCAGGGCGAATGGGGAGGTTATGGCTCTACCCTGTTACACACAGCAGGGCCCATGGGGGGGAGGGGGTTGGGGCGTCGCACACTGTCACACACAGAGCTGCAGGGCAATCAGGGGTTGGGGAGCTCCCCTGTATCAGGCACAGAGCAGAGCTGATCAGGAGGTTGGGGCGCCTTCCCCTGTCACGAACAGAGCGGGGCCAATAGGGAGGTTGTGGTCCCACCCCCTGTCACACACAGAGCCACAGGGCGATCAGGGGATTTGGGCACTGCCCCCTGTCACGCTGATCCTGGTGCCGGGAGGCCTTGCGGCTCCACAGATCCCAGTGCTGTGAGGCATATTACCCTTTTACTATATAGGTTAGAGGCCTGGTGCACGTGTGGGGGCCAGCTGGTTTGCCCTGAAGGATGTCCTGGATCAGGGAGGGGGTCCCCACTGGGATGCCTGGCCAGCCTGGGTGAGGGACAGAGGGCTGTTTGCAGCTGGTCACACACCCTTTAGGTTGTGGGTCCCCACTGGCTTGCCTGGCCAGCCTGGGTGAGGGGCAGAGGGCTGTTTTTAGGCTGGCAAGTAACTGAAACTCCCAACCTCTCCTTTTTTTCTTTTTTCTTTTTAATTCTGGGATTTATTTACCTTCTATGGCTGTCACTGGAAATGAGAGCCAGCTTTAGCTCTGAGGCTTGGCTCTAGCTCTGAGACCTTGGCTGCTGAAAGCAGGTCTCTAGGTTTGTTTCACTTCTATAATTGAAACACTGTTTCAACTCCAGCTCCGAGGCCGGCTGGCTGAAAGCAGGTTTCTGGGGTTTGTTTAGCTTCTATAATTGCAACATTGTTTCTTAAACTGCAGCTCAGAGCCCAGCAGTGGCAGGGGGGGGAAC